GACTTAGACCGAGTGGCAAGGCATTTTGGTGATGGGATAAGCACAGAGAGGGCACTTGGAACTACAGGGTAAGCAGTTAGCGCTGATACCCAACGAGGCTGACCTCTCCCATTGACCCAAAGGGGCAATGATGCACTGAGAGGTAAGCAGGGGCAAGGATCATGAGCCGGGTCCCCCCTCTCCTCACTTGAGGCTGGGAGCTGTGACAGCACCTCCTGCATGCAAGCCCAGCACTGGGTTCATGTGGGGGTGGCAGAAGCCATGGTCTTGCAGAACCATGGACCCTGACCTGCCATGGAACAAGTTCCCCAGGAAGTTTTCTGAGAGATGGGGGGGGGGGGTTGGAAAAGTTTTTAAAATGCACAACACAGAAGGAATGTCTCCAGCTATAATTTGGGAAGCAAGTAAAGCTTTTCTCAGAGGAATTCTACTAGCAGCTGCAAAAAAAAAAAGCGGGAAAGATTAGAACAAACTAACATAATAACAGCAAAAAAATCAGAGATTGGAACAAGAACATAAAAACAATAATAAGAAACACTAGCAGAGATTAATCAATAAAAACAATTAGATATGTAGGTGAAGTACATAAAAAAATTAAATTTCTAAAACAAAGATGTTTTGAACATGCAGATAAACCTGGCAGATATCTGGTGTATTATCTCAGGAAGGAAAGAGGAAAAAAGAGTAATAACGGGTGTAAAGAAAGGAGATCAAATTACATATGCAGAAAAAGAAATACAGGAACTATTAGTGTTCTCTCAGGATTATACAAAAGGTTACATATTTTATAATATTATATACTTCCTGTGTATAACTCTAACATGTGATAAATAATAACAAATAGATATCCAAAAAGAATTTTTTTTCAGAAGAAAGAAGAAGAGAATATTTAAAAGACATCCCAATTGCAAATTTTATGTCAGAACATAGAAAAATATTAACTCAAACAATAACAATTCAAGAAATCTCTCAAGCAATACAGAACATGAAGACGGATAAAGCACCAGGACTGGACAGGTTGACAGCAATGTATTATAAACATCTTGAAGAAGTAGATAAAGGAAAAGAAGACAATACCCCCAACATGGCAAGAGGCATATTTAATGCCAGCATATGAAGAGGGTAGAACAAAGTTTGAGTCCAAGACCAACAACCTTTATTCAAGGTGTAAGCTTTCATGTGCATAAACACTTCTTCAAACACAATGAAATGAAACCCACCAGTCCACACACATGCACACACAGAGAGATTTGTGAATAAGAACAGAAAGAAAGCAGTGTTTCTATTTCGAGATGCAGAGAAAGCGTTCGACAATATGGCCTTTCTTATTGAATGTCTTACAAAATATGGGCTGTGGTCCTGCATTCTGGAGCTGGATGCATGGAATATACTCAAACCAATAAGCAGAGATTTTAATTCTTGCATAAACCTTTATTGGCATAACACAGCAACAAGGATAGTGGACTGGATTAAAAACTCAGATTAGTAAAATTAGAATCATCAGATCTTGATGAAGGCCTACACAATATTTATGGATTAAGAAATCGACTAAAAAGATAATAACACAAGAAAGAAGTCATGTAATCAGAGATGGACTTTTGAAAATATGGTTTACACGCTGGAATTTCTTGAGCACATGATGATAAACACTCAGGGGAAACTCAAAACTTGGCAAGATATTAAAGATGAATATGTAAACATTCAATGGCTGATATAGTATCAATTAGTCTCAAGACTAAAGGTGATCATGAGTATTGAAGGTGAAGTTCTAAGAGATGCGACTGAATTTGAGCAGCTGATTATAAAACAAAAAGAGCATCTACTATGATGGATACATAAGATTTTACTCCAGCTAGAAAAAGAAGATGAACAAATGTGGGATGGGCATCTCCTGGCCACATGTAGGGTACCCGGTGGCAGTAGACTCTGTAGGGGTTGATCTTCCATGGAGTGGAATCAACACTCCAGATGCCAGTAAGTTCATGAAACTACATTTACTGGCCCCAGTGGGCTATAGGTACACTCCCTCAGCCTGACTACAAGTTGTCAATCTCCTCTTCTTTTGCTGGCCACCAGTAGGAGTGCTGTATTACCACCTTTAAGGCCCTGCTGAACAGGTCATCCTTCCCCTGGAGCCTCATTCCCCATCAGCTACCAGCCCAGTCAGACTCATGCATACTCAGGTGTATGCCCTCCCCCCTGAGTGGCGGAGGCCATGATCTATCCTCACCCCACAGACTGCATGTCAAGCCACACTCTCCCCACAGGCCGTACCCTTGTGGGTACCCAAAAATCCAGTTGCCATGGCTGGTGGTTAGCCAGACAACTCCAGCACCACCCCTGTGGTCCTTGCCCCGGCTGGGCCCAGGCAGCTGGCCTGTCACACAACCTCAATAATCCAATGTGTGTTGGACCACCACCTTAAGGTAAAAAAATAATCAGCTGGCTATCATGTTTTTCTTTTCTTGCTTTGAAGATGGCGATTTGTAGGGCGTTTTAGGCTCTTATGATGGAAGATAGAATGCCCTATTAGTGCTTATAAAATTGTTTGGAAGAGGAGCCTGATGTAATAAATAATGAAGTGGATAAAGAAGGTAATAAAGAGGAAGCAAGCTGAGGAGGTTTGCACAGCTCTGTGGTTGCTGATTTGAAACAGCCACTAAGCTGCTAACTGGCTTCTTTGAGCCTCCTGCCGCTGTGTCCCATTTTAACCTTGTCCCAATCTTTCTGGGACTTGTATCTCTCAGTTCTAGAGTACCCCATTAGTTCATCTTCTTGTCATTTATAATTGCATGTGAAAGCATATGGCTTTGATTCATTTGGAATCAATGGCTAAGTTCTCATTTATCTGAATGCTTTTTGTCTTTGTAGAAGACAAAACATCATTAGTTAAATAGTCTATGGTAAGTGAAGATAATGGCATTCACAGATGAAGAAATTGGAACAGTTATCTTCAAAACAGCCTAAAAGAATTAGCTGTCCAACTACAATATAAACAAAATTACTGGTCTGAATCTCTGTATTCATATAAATATATAATTCTAGTAAGCAGTGATTAAAATATGGCTTGCGGTGGGGAATGTATTAGAGACCTACTATAAAACTCAGTTGGAGGAATGCTCTAACAGTGTATACAAAGCTCAGAGATCCCAATGCAAAAGCTAAAGTAAATTCTAATTTGTCCTCAGTGATATTTAATACAAGCTCCTAAAAGGACTTATATAATGTGCCCCCCCCCGAAGACAGTCAACTATGTCAGAAACAATAGCAAGAAAAGTACTTCCTCCCATTGCTTTTCTTATTGAAAATGACTTCTGCACTGAAAAAATGACAGTGGATTCTTTACATTCCTGTTCCTTCCCATTTTTCATTATAACATAATATTTTTTACAATTTTTCTGGTGCATAGTACACGGTAAGAATGTTTTATAGAACATTACGATGTTAGTAAGTGTGAAGTTCCTGGAGATTTCTGTAAGATACTCTGAATAATGATTCCTAAACTGTCAGAGAAATGCTAGACAGTAGACTAGAGAACGGTATTTGACTTTCACAAGGCAAGAGTCTGTGTCAAGATTAGAATTAAAAGTGTCTGGATTTCTGACTAATGCTCAGATTACAGAAATTAGTTTGAAAACTTGAACACTTCATGAACATTGCGTTTCAGACACAGGGTCATCAGTTCATGTTTAGTCTACAGCTGCAGTTCAAGAGTGTAGGCACAGATACCCTATAAATATGGGGGGAGGGGATTACACTTTCAGTAGGTATCACCACTCACCCTACCATCCATTGCAACCGTCCCCTTGTATTCCTCAAAATTCAAATATCAGCTGGTAGATTTGCTGCGAGAACAGTGGAAAGGGAAACTGCTGTTGGTAGACCAGTCATTCTTCCTGGATTCCTCTGACACTGATCTTGGATGAAGTATTTAAACTGGAAATTATAATGCTCTCTCAAATCTACTCATTTTATTTTGCTTAATTCTCTGTCCTCAATCTACTTTTCCTGTCAGGTCCACCAATACTTTAAGGCTGTTTCAAGCATTATGCTGGAGCAAACACTAGATGTGCTACTGTGGGCACATTTAATGGAGAGTCTTAGCCATTTTTAGATTTCTCAGCTGGGTTCCAAAACAATACACGTGTTTGTAAACATGTGTTCACACCAGTGTTCCCTCTAAACTGAGTTAGTGTGGGCTAGCTCACAGTTTTTAAGCCTCCGGCTCACAGATTTTTGTCTTAGCTCAGGAAGGATGGCTCCAGAGCCAACTGATTTACGCAGAAGCCAAATCGCTCACTCACAACTTTAATGCCAGGAGCTCACAAAGTAGAACTGCTGCTCACAAGACTCTACAGATCAAAAAACCCTCAATTTACAGTCCATGGATGTTCTCAGGGATAACTTTTATACCTATCTAAAGAGGTATGCAGTGATGCTTGGGCCATTGCACGCTTTCTATGGCAAGAAACACATATTCATCCAATCTTGACTAGTCCAGTATGCGTATATGGCTGCTTTGAATCAGTGACAAGAAAACAGAACCAGTGAGTGCGGAAACAAAAAAAGAGGAATGAGCATCTGTTCTGTTCAGAGACAGTGTAAGAGGCATTACCATGTAATCATGAAGAGTCTTAATTGCCCTACTGGGATTCAACAGCATAGCAATTCTGACTCTGCGGCACTTTCTCAAATTGCCTGAGATGTGCCATATGAGCTGGGGGAGGACTTGGAACTTGCCCTGGGAGGAAGTTAAGGAAGAATCATGTCACAGTTGGCAGGCTTGTCAGCCAACCAGACTTTCTAATTACCCATCAATCTTCCCACTCCCCAGAAGGGCTCTAGAGTATCTGAAAGGCTGGTCATTAAAGCCCTGTTTCATTTCTTTGTGAACTTGTTTTTGGGTGTGTATTTTTTTTTGTAAATTTCAGCATGCCCTGTTATAAGGTTTGCATAAGAATGTGGTACGAAAAAACAAGTGCAAGAAGCAATTCAATTACCTTGATGACACTTTCTCCAGGCCTCATGTCTGTGTAAATCTTGACATTGTATGATATGTTGGAGAAGGCTGGAGTGTTATCATTTGCATCAATCACAATGATATTGACTGTGACTGGTAGGCTTTCTTGCACACCATCGGAAGCTGTCATCTTCCAAAGAAGCAGACAACAGGAGGAAATTGTTGGGAAATACAAGTGAACATTCTGATTCCAGTGAAACTCAAGCTGATTATTTTTACTTATATTTTAGGTTTGGGTTTGTTTGTTTTTTGCAAAATCCACATATACTATTAATCACATATCAACTTCAGTGCTGAGAAGAAAACTATTACTTTGAAGTCTTCCCTCACTGAATTTTGCATGGGAAGTGTATCACAGGAAATAATTTTTGAAAACTCAAATCAGACATCTATTTTCTTTTTGGTTCATAGAGGACCTCTATACACCTTACTTTTTAGCAGTATAGTAAAAAAACAGAGTTAAACCCTTCTCTGTCCCTTAAGGTCAATGGGCTTATAAGGATCCAGCTCTGTTTTGCAGATCTCCCAACTGAAAAGAAGCAGTGGGGAGGTAAGTCTAAACTTGATAAGGGTCATGGTGCTGTGGAGTTGGGTTAATCAATTCTCCTGTTGCTATTTTCCTATGAAAACTGTCCCATGCAGCTGCTATAAGCATGGCATGGAAAAAATATAGGTGTCTTTATTGCATCCATCTTTTTTCCTACTGCAGCTAAATCCCACCCATATGCCAAATTTGGACTTGGCTTAGCATTATGCTTGTGAAATGACCCTTGGGGAAATATGGATGAAGGGGACAAAAAGCTGTCACTGATTAATGCATGCATGCTCCAAATCATTACTTGCAGGCTGCTATTTCCTGTGCTTTAGCCATGATTCTAGCTAGCATTCACTTTATAACGTCCACTCATTTCAATGTAGGTAAAAACAGTCAGGATGACAATAGGCTGTGGGAAGCCCATCTCACATAATAATATCTATTCTTTGCTTGAAATAATATCTATTTGCTTGAAAGAACACCTGTTGTCATGCTGGGTCAAAAACAAAACCCATATTGCTTACCGAAAAGGTGTACAGCTGTTGAAGCTCCCTGTCAACTGGTTGAAGTAAGGTGAGGTAGCGTGTTATGCCAGTCTGAGTCACAGTGAAAAACGTATTGTAGTCATTTAGGAAAAGATGGAGCTCAGGATCCTTTGTCTTCAAAAAGAAACAAAAGGAAGGGTTATTACTTGCAAAGGTATGGTAGTAGTATACGGTGGAGCTGTTTTAATAATAGTACTAAATACCTGGACTGACAATGAAATGGGGGCAGAGGGAAAATACAATGAACCTAAATTGCAGCAATTGCACCCTCTGCTTGAATTGGACGGAGGGAGACCCTATTCCCCACCTCGCCATTTCCCCTTTTAACCAGCAGTGCTGGAGGAAAAACCTACATTCTTTCAAAATAATTCAAGATCTGATCATAACTCTATTTAGGCAAGAAAATATTCAAAGCTTTTATCACAGCAGCAAACTTTAAAAGGCAGTGGTGGTGGGGAAGGGAGGGAGGAAACTATTACCACCTGCAAGCCAAACAAAACCCCACATCATGGCAACAGAACTCTACCATTAGCTGATCACATATTTGCTACAAAGGGTAGTTCTTAATATATATATTTTTGAAGCACACCAATGGAAAGATGATAATTTAGGATTCAAAGCATCTGTTCATTGAAGGCCTGGAGAATCCTGCCAGTATGCTTAATGCAGTAGGCTTTGTGCACAAAAGCTTTGACTTGCTGGCAGTCAGGATGCGGCTGTTCCTCACATTGTGTAAACAAGGGATGGAGGCATTCCCTTTCTGTGCTAAAAAGCAAGCGGTCCACAAAAAAGGCAGAATGAAGGATCTTCCTTTACACAGGGAGCTCACATCACTTGGTAATTGACAATTACCTTGATTTTTAAAGAAATGAACTAAACAAATGTGGTGCAATTCTATGTATGTTTGCTCAGAAGTAAATCTCAACTATTTATCAAGGCAATGCTCACCATGTTTAGCCTTGCACATGAAAGCTCATACCTTGAATAAACCTTTGTTGGTCTTAAAGGTGCCACTGAGCTCTAAATTTGTTCTATGTTTAGCAAGGAAAACTTGCAACCTTAAGGCCCCGGTCACACGGAAGATTTTGGCCCGGGAGAGGGACGGATCGGGGGCGCAGCAAACGGGTGCGATCTCACCGCAACATCTGGGAAGCGGCGCGCACCCATCCCCGATCCGTCCCTAAACCCAGAAAAGCCGCTGCAAAAAAGAACCTCCTACAGAGGAGGACTTACCTGAAGCACCGCAGCAAGCGTGGCCATGGGATCGCCGTCGCGCCCGTCGTCTGGAGCAATCCAGGCTCCCGGCCAAACTGTGCACGTGCACACATGCGCAGTTCGGCAGCCTCGCTCTCTCTTCAGTAGCTTCCTCCCGGCATCTGATCGTGCCGGGGAGGAACTGCGTAGCGGCTCAGGGGATCTATGTGATCCCGCCGCCACATGTTTCTTTTGGTGCGGCTTTAAAAAGCCGCATTTTGGGCATATTTTCCCCCCATGTGGCAGGGGCCTAACTTAACCAAATTTTAACAGGATGGAGTCCTACACTTCAACTTTTGCAAAGTTTGTAATATTTGAGCCAAAGCAATAGAAATGCTGCAAATCACTGAAGAAGCCTTCAACCTAGTGTGTCTCCCTCTATATAAATATGAGCTGGCAATACATATTTTAACACTATGACCAAAGATTACAAAATAAAATTTCCAAAACAGACAGGCCCCTAAGAGGGAGAAGGTTTTCCTCCCTCAGTTTGTTACAGTTTTTAAGATCTCTCACATTTATATTTCTGAATAAATAAAACAGCACCTTGAACCATGGCTGTAGCAACACAGATTGTGCTCCCGTGGTCAAGTCTGCTGAAACAGCATTTCATAACCAGTTTTCAGCCCCGAAGTCACACCACCATGGCTTTCCCTTTCCAATTGTTAATATGATTTTATTGCAAGTAATAGCATTTATTTTCTACACATTTTTGTAATATGTATCATAAAAATCTTGGAAAGATGAGTTCATCTAATACAATTCTCTCTCTCTCTCTCTCTCTCTCTCTCTCTCTCTCTCTCTCTTTCTTACTTCTAATGAAAAACTTAAGGACTCAGAGGTACTTTGAGAGAAAGTGCCTACAGTCACTCATGCTCCCGTAGGTCTAACACCACCACAGCAATAGCCTGGAAGAGATGCAGTAAACAAGGGGGAAAGTGTAGGCTGTTTTCAGACATGACACTTAAATCAGTGATCTTTTAATAGTTGTTTTCAGCATTCATTCCCACATTAGCTTTCAACATTCACACAAAAAGAGAAAGAAATGCTCCAAGTTGCTTGTGTAGCATGTGTAAAAACAGCCTAAAAGAGAGTGTGTGGTTTGGGATCTGATGCAGAGAGAAAGCATGAGGGATTCACACCTCTGCATCTTATCCACAGCCCAGGTAACACACATCTCTGGCCTTCAGATGAGGCATGGATGCATAGGTAGAAGAAATCAGTCACTCCCTTTTCCACTCTGTGGCAAGTTAAAGATATACTCACAAACCATGGCTTGTGGTTATCTGAATGCGCTTGCTCAGGTTCCCATGCTCCCTTCTCCCCAGCTCCTCCTCTCATGCACAGCTTGGTAATTAAAATACTTGCACTTCCACAGGAAACCGGTTTGCTATAATGTATGAAACTATGGCTTACTTTCTTGCTTTCAAAACAGGATTCCAAACTAGGACTATACCAGGGCTTTGATTCTGACAGAGAAGATAGGAAGCCATAGTTTGTAGTTCAAATGCAATGACAGACTACATTCAGTCTTCTGTTTTCCCTCTCCTGCTTTAGCCTGCCAAGCCTCCTGAAATGTGGGTCCTGGGGGTTCTCTCAAGAACAGCATGGGAAGCAAATTAGGAGTTTGCAGTAGGAGGGTGGTGGTGGAAGAAATTGCCTGCACTCTTAACAATGGCAGTGCCATTCCATTGTTGGAAACGAGTGGTAGGATACAAAACACAGTTTGCTACGAAAGTGGAAGTCTTCCATTATCAATCACTGAAGAGGAGGAAGAGATGGAGGAAGATGGAGAATGATCCCAAGGATGTGACTGCACCACGATCAAAATTATTCTGTGAGAATATCAGATGTAGCAATTTTGGTAAACACTCTGTAAGAAAAATCAAGGTGGGCAGCCATGTTGGTCTAAAGCAATAGAACAAGGTTAGAGTCTAGTGGCACCTTTAAGACCAACAAAATTTTATTCAAGGTGTGAACTTTCATGTGCATGCACACTTTGTCAGACAATGAAATGGAATTTTTCCTTCAGTTGAACCCAAACAGATGATAATCAGAAACCAAGCTTGTCATTCTTTTTATTTGCTAAAAAACATCTTCACTATTTTGCATGTTAATTTAACAAGCCACTCTGTATATATCCAAGTATGATCTGTAGTTCCATTTCATTGTCTAACGAAGTGTGCATACACACGAAAGCTCACATCCTGAATAAAACTGTTGGTCTTAAAGGTGCCACTGGACTCTAACTTTACTCTGTAGGAAATATAAAGATTAGTTGAAGGCAGAAAACCCACTTCAATCAGGGGGGGAAATCACTATAAAATTATACTATTGTTTGAACAATTTCCAAATTCTATTACGCACAGTAGTATTTAAAATTAGTAAAATTATGATGCTTTTGAGAGAATCAGTAGACAATGGCTTAATTCAGAATTAGATTTTTGAAAAGAAAACAATAATTATTTTTAAAAGGTAAATTTTTGTTTTACTTTATCAAAGACATTCACACAGGAAGATAGATGGGAGAGGAAACTCAAGCAAGGAGGGATTAATTCACCAATATGAGCACCTAAAATACCTACAGGAATGGCACCTGGGAGAACCTACAGGGCAAAAACAACAACAACACAGAGAATGAAAAGTAAGTATGAAAAAAGCTCATAATACTTGGAACCTTTAATCAAAATAAATATAAGACATATAAAAGCAAAAAAAGGCAAAAAGCATTAACTATCAGAATTTTCTAAAATGTTCTCAAGAAGATTAGAAATTTGGACTGAAATGAACACTTATACTCTGGCAGCCTCTTTTCCTTCAAATTGTATCCGATTCTCTATTTGTAGAAGAGGAGTCACATAATGTTAGACATATTCAAACTTCAGTCATTATACTATTCATGAAAGTTAAATTAGTTGTAGATTAGTTATGGAGCTGGCTGCCTGAAAGTTAGTTACCAACCCTCATGAGAGTTAAGGAGATACTAGGATGGAAAGTAGAGAAAAGAAAAGGAAAGATGCTAGGTAATTTGTGAAATTTGTGATGTCACCTTTTATAATAAGGTTCTGGATTATTAAAATAACAGGATCTATATCACTTTCCCAGATTTGTTTCATAAACCGAGTTCAATTTGGAGGGTCACCAAATTACGTGGGCTTGATCTAGTAATTCTGCTACAGAATACGAGGAGTTTCAAGATGATGTGAAGGGCTCATCCTGTAATTAATTCTTAACGTGCTATCTAATCCTATGTCTTAGCTTGTGAACTCCGTGACATTATTAATACTAACTTTTATCTTTCTATTCAGGAGGGAATACATATTTTCATTAATTTTTCAAGTCTTCTATTGCTCGTGTTCTCACATGCACGAAACAAGCTGCAGCATCCAAGGGGTTTGTCTACTCCAATTAACTCACAGAGTTAACTCCCAAAGGGAATTACATTTGTAATGAATCTTCACTTTTTTCTTTTGATTTAATGTAGGTGATAAAATATATTGTAACTTTGAATTAAACATATATTTTGCTAATACCTAAATCAGATGTGAACTAATAAAGTTGACAAATAGCCTGAAAATATTTTAGATTGAAAATATACCATAAAATATACTGTAAAAATAACATGTGGCTAGTTCTACTTCTGCTTCTCAGTCTTTTTGCAGATCTGTAAGTCTATATATTCACTGATACACCTGCCTTTTGGCATACTGATATATTTACCTACAGCATACTCTATTGAAAAACTTCATAAGTACAACAAATAAAAAAACCCCTAAAATATAGCAAGCCAAAGTTACCCAGCTCTGGTTTATCCATATCTAGTTAATGCCAGCTCAAACATGATGCATTATTTCTGGAAACTGATTGTCAAGGGAACATATCACCAGTTAGCCTTGTCACCAACAGCACAGGAGGAAGGAAACTGGTATTTGGACTGCTGAAAAGGATAAAAAGCAAGTTTCTCCTCTTTCCAGATAGGTGGGCTGCTCTTTGAAGGACCTGGTACTCATTGCCTTTTCTTACCCAACTTCATTTCCCAGCATAATTAGCTGCTTCGGCCTCATTTTGGTTTCACTACAGCATTCTCAAGACAAGTGGTTTTTTTAGGATTGCAGCCTAAATCCCCCTAGTCCTAATCCAAACATTTCAAAAAACCTTGAGGATACTCCCAATAATGTGGGTAATTTGTATGTGAGTATGAAGATAGCTCTCATGTGATGTACTACCATGCAGAATCATTTTATAGTGGTTTCTACATGGGTTCCAAATACAGGGATGGATATTAAGATCGTAAATCTGAGTACACGGCATATATGGTCTACCAAATTTAATTATCCTATAGATTAAGTTAGCTAATTGTGTTTGTTCCTAGTTGTAGGTTTTAGATCAAAGTCAGTTTGCTAAATTTGGGTTTCTGCTAACCCATGCAATTTTGCAGCACCTGAAAATCTGATCAAGAACTTGCTGTCCAGACACCAAATGTGCAACAAACTTGATCTTGTGTAAATCAAAGGAGATAAGGCAACCAGGAAGACATCCAAAATCCACAGTCTAAAATGCCTCTCTCTCAGTGTCACTTTATATAATACTACCACATCTATTCAGCATTTGTTAATAATTGTTATTGGCCTCCCCCCAGGTTTTTGGTACTATGTGTGTTTATATGGTTTTACTGAATTACTCTCTGTGTATATGTGTAATTTTAAACATTTTTAATATCAAAATATTTTAATGGGAACCCTATTAGGATGGAAAGGTGGAATAGAGAAGTTTTAAATAAAAATGTAATATTTTTTTTTAATTCTGCTTTTCCTCCAGGGAGGTCAAGGCAGTATATATAGTTCTTTCTATGTTATTGTCACAATATTTACCATCTATAGATTTGTCGCTCACAGTTTCACATATTTCCTGTCCACGGCCTGACCATGTGATGCACCTAGCCCTGACCACATGACCCCTCTACACACTGGGAGTGGGAAACTGGGTATGAGTGTGCTTGCTCATTCCCTGCCCATGACTGCACATTTGTTAGCATTCTGTTTAAGTGTGGAGAAAGTGTGCACACCAGGTGAGCTGTGAACTACCTGTGCCACTGTGCCTACCTAGTCAAGCGATTCACATTGCAATATCTGGCTGCACCATTGCCTTGCAACTTGCCCAATCTAGGCAGGTGAGGTGGCCACTGTGACTCACTCAGCAATGCTGCAGCCAAACATAACTCACCCAGATCAAGCCTCCTCCCATCTGGTGGGGAGGGAGGTGGGTCCATCCCTGGAGGCAGCAACCTCCCCCCTTCTAGTATTCAGATATTTTGTCATTTGTGGTGATCTAAAGAACAGAATCCCCATAGACAGGGCTATTTTGGGGCAGGAACGCACAGGAACGGAGTTCCGGCTGGCTCCCGAGTTGGCCACGCCCAGCAGGAACTCATTAGCATAATAGGCTACACCCAACAGCAGAAACTCATTAGGATTGGCTACATTAGGGGGGTGTGGCCTAACATGCAAAGAAGTTCCTGCTACAAAAAAAGCTCTGGGTTTTGACAACAAACAAAATAAACAGAATAAGAATCAAAAGGTGGGTGTGGCTGGATGACCACATTTCTGGTAACATGGGGGTGCAGCCTAATATGCTAATGAGTGGTGCTGTCAGGGTGTGGCCTAATATGCTAATGAGTTTCTGCTGTTGGGTGTGGCCTATTATGCTAATGAGTTCCTGTTGGGCTTTTTCTACAAAAAATGCCCCGCCCATAGATATGAATGGTGAGGATCTACTGTAAGTCTCTAAGACAGCCTGAAAGAGAGTGATTTGCCTAAGGTCACCCTTCCTGGGTAAGTGGGGATTTGAACTCAGCAATACGAACCTATGCTTTTGAAACAAATGCCACCTGAAATTAAAATTCTAAACATAACTTCTCAGCAGTATTAGTTCATCTCCTTGACTCTTCTAAAATGTATGACATTTCAGTGTTTATAAATTATACAAGTGGCCATTTGCCACCACGCACAGCCCTGATGTTTCCAAAACTGACCCCTTTTTTGTGCACTAGTTCATGCTAGTGTAGCCAGATGTAAAGAGGGATAGGAGTGGTTTCAGCAGAAGTAGCTTATCTCTTTTTCATTACTAAGATAAGACAATCATGCATGACAGGAGACATTCTAAGACACGGAGAGACTAGTTCCGAGATATAGTGGAAGGGATATTAGAAAGAAAGAACAGCTGCATATAGCAAATTCTAAAAGGGGAAATGAAGATGTATGCCGATCTAATTGGCTTGCTCAGACAGAGAAAAAAGTGGCTACATGGTGAAACAGAAAAAGAGAGGTCACTTTTTCCTTATCTTTGCATAATAAGGTATGTATAATGATTATATCCTCTTTGGCATACGGTCACTCCATCCTGTCAGAGCCTATGCTATATAATATACATATATGTTTTACCATGAACTGCCTGAGTTCATCCATAGTATCACCTGCCTCAGATTTTAGAGTCAAGAACACTGGAATCACCAAGGCCTGCCTTCTGTGTAATATTTCATTACCTTCTAAAGGGCAAAAACATATCTTGGAAGTTTCCCAAACTGACACAGGTTTCCAAAACTTCCTTCGTTATCTGTCCCACTGATAGCTCACTCTTGCAATTAACCTTTGTTCCTTGCTTCTGTCCAAATTTGTCTAGAGCCCTGAACTAATCAGAAGAAGCCTGTACCCCTTGCCACAAGTCACTTGCCATGTATCCATCCTAGCCTGAACTTGAATCACTTTAATTGCAAAAGCCACTAGAGGAAATATTTCGCGGCTCTTGGAATGGATCCTAGAAGTAATAGTTTGAGCTGAAACACTCCCTGCATTGTGATTTCGTACGGGAAGCACGAGTTGGTTTTAGGACTCCTTGATAAAATTCTGAAATCTTTTTGTCACATGATTAAGACTTTTGCAATATTCTGATGTTATCAGCTCTTTTTTTCCTAATTATAATATGACATATCCAGCATTAGTGAATGAATAGGGAATTTCACAGAACAGGAGTGTTTTAGTGAGAAACAGCACCAACCTCTTCTATGTCGTTATCCAAAGCTATGATTTGCAGTGCAGATGTCAAATTCTGATTATCAGCAATAGTTGTGCCCACAGGGGACGACTCGAGAATAAAGCCCTCATACATAGATTCTGTGAAGTAAGGGTACTGATTGTTTTCATCCAGAACTTCAATGTGTAGGTTGGCAAAGGCAGGAAGAGGATGGCCATTATCTTGTTCTGCCTACAAAGACAAAAAAGCAATTTTTAATGGATTCCCATTGCTGGTCATATTGGAAGCTGGTAGGACTACTGGAATATACTATTGTTGTCCTGCCCTTGCGCTTCCTTCTTCTTGCAGCTCCATTCATATAATTCCTTTAAAATTTTTCATCTCCTCTCTAAAAAAGCCAGTTTCTGACACTCTATCACATTCAGTCATGATCAAGGAAAAACAAGAAGAAGACTGGGACTATACAGATAGAAATAGGCTTGAAACTCAATAGATGAGATTAGCTGGGTCAGGGAACATGTTTATCCCCAGCCTGATCTGGCGCTACCAAGCTGTACCCCTATTCTTTCTCCAAACATTTTAATGGCTGCTATTCACTTCCATTGAGACAACACACATTATTGGGATAAAGGCGAATCAGAGTTCTTCCCGCTCAGGGAACAGCTCCTTTGTGATTGGCCGCTGTTTCGAATCGACCAATAGCTTTTGGGCTAGATGGAGCCTTGGCTGGCTTGAAGCTTAACATAGGAGGTGGATTAGCTGATTCATGATATCCAGACAGTACATAACAGTCATGATCAAGGAAAAACAACAAGAAGACTGAGACTATACAGATAGAAATAGGCTTGAAACTCAATAGATGAGATTAGCTGGGTCAGGGAACATGTTTATCCCCAGCCTGATCTGGCGCTACCAAGCTGTACCCCTATTCTTTCTCCAAACATTTTAATGGCTGCTATTCACTTCCATTGAGACAACACACATTATTTTGGAAGAATATTCCAATACGGCTAAAGGCTTAAGAAGCGATTCAGGGTGGATGTATGTTTGCTGTATAGAGGCCTTACCTTTATACACAGACTCCGTCTCTTATAATGACTGAGTAAACATGGGTGTGATCCAGCCAAAGTTAGATACTTTTAGATCATGTTTACTGCAACTGGAAACTTTCCCATTTAACTTAACTTTCCCATTTAACTTAACTTTCCCATTTAAATCAGTGATACAAAATTGTTTAACTTTGGTTCAGCTGTGTTAACTGTTTTATCAAAACAGCATGCAAAATTTTATTTTTCCTAAGACTGCAATCTTATGCATTTCAGCCCACCACTCAAAAATAAAATTACTGAGTGCAACATCACCACAGCACATACTGAATTCTGTAATAAAAAAATCCTTGTTCGTTTTAAAGGGTGACCATTAATTCTAAACAGCAAGGCTTATTCCAATTAAACCCCAGCTGTGGAAGAAATAGATACAATGTTCTGACATGGTATTTTTCAACTCTCCCCCAGCACCTCCATACACACCTGCGAGGTGGAAAAAAAGGATGAGCAAGGTTTTAACATTATGTTTCAATGAGAAACATACTTAGGGTCAAAGGAAACATACTTAGGGACTATTAATCGCACTTAGTTCCCTAGCTAATACAGATCATTTAACCAAAATACTCAATGAAATGAAACCATCACTTTCATGAGGTGAGATTGGGCTAATGTTAACACACACATATTTTTAGTTGTTGTTGTTTTGTCATGACATGCAAGCAAGTTTAAAAAACAAAAAAAACCCATATGGCATTGTGTGTAGAATAGCCGGGAGATCTGAAGATTGTCTGGCAACCTCAAGCTCTAGCTTTTAGAGTTGTGCTAGTGGCAAGCCAGACTTCTTTTTTAGGGGCTGAGAGGGCTCTGAGAGAACTGTGACTGGTCCAAGGTTAACCATATGGCTTCATGTGGAGGAGTGAGGGAATCAAATCCGGTTCTCCAGATTGCTCTTAACCACTACATCAAACTGGTTCTCTTAAAAAAACAAAAACAAAAAAAACAAGGTGCCAGTGACATTTGTCACAGCAAGACCACTTTATCTGATCTCAATACCAATGATTGACTTCTCAAAGAAAGAAATAACAAACACAATGTTTGCCTTCCACATGAAACATAGCGACACATCAATGGCAGTAAATGCATTTTCAACTTTGATCAGTTGACTAATATAAAAGCTACTTAAAAGATTTAATTTCTTCAATAATATAGTCATCCAATATCCAGTTACCTAATTTCTGATAACTGTTCAGTGTTATAGAAGACATCTCCTAACAAATGGAGGATGAAACACAAGAATAAAATGTTATGAAAGGAAAGAACTGATCACTCTGCAATTCAGAATTATGTTATTTATAACAACATTGAATAACCAAGGGACCAAAAGGTAATCTTGCCAAATACCTCTTGAGGCAGACCTCGAAGGAAGTTCTATTTTAGAGTGCTTTGATGGGAAACAGAAGTCTTCAATCAATATATCATCTGACTAAAGTCATACAAAAGCCTGCCTATACTAATCAAATGAAATACCGGGAGAAGGTCACCAAGAGCTGCATATAAACTTTTTAATAACCAGTTTAATCATGCTAAAGTACCTCAGGTGTCTATAGCAGACCTTCATCTCTAAGGCCGCCTGTTCCTCATTTACGTTATCAATTCTTTTTGTTGAAAAGGCGCTTGGCATTTACTTTGGCTACAAATGCAGTTTATTTATCTAAAACACTTATAAGTGGGTAGCAACATAATTTAAAACAATACAACAGAAATACATCTAAATGGTTCTGACAACAGGAGTTTTGACTCTTGAAAGCTCATACCCTCAAAATCTTGTTGGTCTCTAACATGCTACTGGACTCCAGTCCAGCTCTTCTACTGCACGCCAACATGGCTGCCTCCTGAAACCATCTAAAAATGTTACTTTAAGAAATGGGTCGGTGACAAGGATTCTGTGTTTCTCTTCTAAAGAAAAGTAGGTACCCGGTATGCTGACATTCTCATTCATTTGGCACCTAAGTAGTGTTACTCACCACCATCATTACCACTACCACTACCATCACCATAATCCTAAATCTAATCTTTCACTGGCTCCCACGCAGATTGACAGACCAAGAGTATTGCAAACAAGGAACAAATGCTAGTCTGGAAACTAGCACAAACCATAGATGCTCTGGCAAACAATAACTTGCCACAGAAGAGGATGTAACCAATTTGCTTGCAGCATGGGAGGGAAAGTCAGAGTAGGGATTGAGCGAGTGCTAAACAATTCATTTATGTCATGCTTATCTATGGTTCTGAACCAAGCCAATGGAGACAGAATAGGAGCAAAAAGTTCAGTACAGTCATACAGATATGAAATGAAAAAGAACAACACAAATTCATAAAAGCTACCATGTGCTATAATCAGTTGGAATAATTTTAATTTACATGCCTAAATCTGGTTCACAGCAGTAAGACCCAGACAGTAGAGACAATTTAAAGCAAAGTATCCTTTCCAGTCTTGTGATTCGTCCTTTATTTCCTTCACAGTACATAGCACTCCCTCCTAAGAGAAACCATCTCTTGCACTTATTCGTTGCCAGACTGAGCTTCAGACCGTCATGTTTACCATGCCTTGTTCAGTGCACAATCATGGCAAATACCTGTTATGCAAGAACTTGGTCCTGACCAAGTTCAGAAAACTATACAAGGGCCCCGGTAGGCTTGCCAAGCCCCCGCTGGGGGCAGGGGAACCCCCGATTTTTGACCCCCTTTACCCGCTTTTTTGAAATCCGGCGTCGGGGGGGGGGAAATGGCAGCCGGAAGTGACACTCTAGGATTTTAGTCCTTCAAGTCTCTATGGCTATGAAAGCCATAGAGATGAGGGCTAGAGTGTCTATTCCACTTCCCTCTAGCGTGTGCTGGTGAGTCCCGCCCCTCTTGTTTGCAGCAGGAGCAGCCTGAGGCAGTTCTCAGAGCCCAGAAGAGAGTCGAGGGTCCAGGAAGGTAAGATTTGGGCTGGCCAGGGCTCTGTCTCATAGTCATGTTTGTTTATCCGTCCATTTCCCCCCCCCAGGTCCATCTACCAGCTGCTTGTTTTAAAAGTGCAGGCAGTCATTTCAGAGCTCCGTTTTCTCTCTCCCCCCACCTAAAATCAGGAAGGAGCAAAATGGAGGCTTCAGGGTAAGTTGGTGGGGGTGTAAGGAGCAGGGGGCTTATTTCAAGTGGAGTGGAGTGGGGTGGGAGGGAGCCCAGGGCTGCAGCCACCCAGGAGAAAGCGAGCCCCAGGAACTCTTGTGCTGCACGGAGCACATTGCTCCAGGATACAGAAAATCAGTGGACTGCTTTCTCCTGTAGTCAGGGGTGGGGGTGGCTGCGCACTCTGTCCCTCTCTCTCTTTCTGTTTCTCCCTTTCTGTTGAGGTTTGTGAGAGCTGGAAACAAGGAGAGGCTGGGGAGCTGCTCCACCCCACTCCAGGCTGCTTCCCTTGCAGCCTGACTTTCTTCCCTTCTTTCTGCCTTTCACGTCTCTCTCCCAATCTA